ATTATCCATGCCTGTAAATATACCTCGCATTGCACACGCAGACAAATTAGACAAAACTGTTGTCGTCAAATGTTCAGGGCTTATTCTCTGTTGATCATACCACGAATTTGACAGAGTCAGAAAAATTGAATCCTCATCGACAGCAATCATACTGTAGGTTTTGGCTCTGATCTCTTTAAAAACCGGTCAGAAAACCATCAAAAGGCGTGTTGTCTCATGTCTTGAGTACGAATGCTTTCGGATTTCGGGTTAGGGTTAAGTATGTCATATCAAGCATATGAGTACAAACGACTTACTTTGCATTTTATCCGGTTGGTTCGGCTCATTCACAAGCGCTTAGTACTCGTCATGTTCTCTGATTTTCACCAGTGAAGAATTAAGATTATGCGACTGCTCACCTGCTTAGCTAAAGTGGATAGCAGCTCATTAAGTTGCTCATAAGATTGTTTTTAAGCTAAGCTTCTCTCCTGAACTATAAAGGAGCGGATTGGGTATGGAACGTATTAATTGAGTGGTTGATATGGGACATTCTGCATTTTTCACATAAAACGATGGTAACGATTGAACATCTTAGGAACACCACTATGATTCTGACCTAGGCAATTCGACGCCACTTTACTCGACCTAATTTGCAGTCTAACCGCGTTGGAAAATGGGTCATTTTCCCGGGACTCTCAACTGTGTGGCCAAATATCACATCACAAAGTGAACGACGAAAGAAACTTTATAGTCTCTGCTTGATGCGCACACTTTGCTTCACGTTACACAGAAAGGCAAAATAAAGCGGAATCATATGGACAAGGAGCAAACTTCACACGACTGCTGGAGCGAATAATTGTGAAGCCCAAACTGAAAGAAACCGACCCTGTAATGATGAGCCAACTGCAGCTCTCAAATAGCAAGCCTAACTACCAAAGTAACCAATGATACTCTCACGCCGACTCACAAAGTGAAATTCGCTGCTAACGTAAGTATCGATTTTTCACAGACACCGCGATTCTCATCTTATCTACTTAACTTTAACCACCTTTTCACCGCAGTGCGCCCATCCGTCTGTCAGAATTATTCATACTGTTAAGTATCTTTACTTCCTTTCACTTACAATCCAACAAATCGGTTCTTTTCCCTAAGGAAGGCCGTTTCACTGGAGAATTAATGCTTTCTTGGGTCTGGAGTTTGCCTTTCAGTGGCAGGTGGAAAATGCAGATTATTTGAAAACATTGCATTCTTTCATAGTCTGGTTACAAGAATGCCCACAACAAGTGAGTATCCGTAAAGAGAATTTATGTATTCTCAGTAGATACTCATTGTGATACCTGGTTTCTTTGGCTCCCAAAAACGAGCTACCTTAAGGTTTCTAAAAATCTTAAATGCCGAAAAGAGGGATTCCCCATATAAATGAATTATTAATCCGCATTACAAAACCAGCAGTTCTTGAATCTCACTTCCCATTTACTATTGCAAGTGCCTTATGGCTAGCAGGCCGGAATCGATCATCAGTACTGACTCATCAGCCGATGAAATAGATGTAGTAATCGGACCTTACTCGCAATCTATAACAAGTTGGATTAAGAGTTCTACTGGAAAATAGGGAAAGGACTGAGCTCTTTAATGATGTCCCCTGCGATAAATACCATCAGCTGTTTACATCACATCATGCTTGTGGTGTATCTGCTGGCCTGATGTGGCTGATACTCCTGTAATTATTCAGCGTCCCTTGCATTTTCTGGGCAACTTATGCACTGGTTTTCTTCTAATCTGTGATGCAGCTGACAGCCTCAGAATTTTTTGGCAAGCTTTTTAAGGGTGGTAGTTAAGTGAGACATAAATGAACAGAATTTCCTTTCTCAATTGAAAACAAAAAGATGTAAAAATTCTGATATTCCATTAAATATATATACATATATGCCGTAGCAGAGAGACTTGTAGTTAAAATATTGATTATCTAATCTCTTGTGGAAGGAAGCACCAGAGAATATATTTTGGTTCGACTACTTGGACGACTTCGGCTTCGACTTCATTTTACATACTGCGTCAAAAAATCTAATCTAGGTAAGCATTTTCTCTCAGTGTTCCTGATTGCATCCAACGTGTCATCTGAGGGATGAAACTATGAACGTTTTTATACCGACAACTCCAGGTTGACTTATTGTACACGTTCCGTTGAGTGTAGACATCGGTTCTGCTGGTTACGAAGGAAATTTGCTCCTCTCTTTATGGTATAATCTATAGCTATGCTAAAAATACTTCACATGGTTAGGACCTCATCTAAATCGCAACCGAAATGCCTAGTGATCACCATCTTTCTGCAGACCATTCTGCAGCTAAAGCAAACCAGGGCAAATCCATCACATTAGCCGGATATCCAACTGTAGTAGATAACCTTTGCACCAACAGGCACGCACATTTTCTTACTTTATGTCTTCCTTCTCATAAATGGTTCGATTTTGCGTCCAATCCTATAGTTAATCAGTTCTAGCCAGGAAACGAGTCATTAAGCACATATGTTCGACCAGCCACCCATTTCCGAAAAACAATACACTGAATCCTCCCTTGTTATCATCATCATCATCGTCATCGTCAAAGACAGCAACACGAATGTTGGTACTGACGCTTCACTGCCGTACATCCTCCCTTGAGGGCATGATGAAACACAATTCAAACAAGTCATACATTAGGATATTCAGAATGCTCACCTAAAAAGCTTTGCACAAACTCGATTTTTTCTGCCTGGAACCGATATCTGTCTGCTGTCTCAAAGTTTTGAGATGAAACTTCTCTACTAATCAAGGACGTAAAATCAACCAGCTACCAACTCTGAATAATTTGTTCTAGGTCCTTCAGTTTTGTGTACACAGGGCAAACTAACAAACGGAAGGACGTGTTTGGCTGTACATTAGACAAATCAACGTTCTTTGTATCAGAATTTGGTATACTTTGACGAATTAGAGAGATTCGGCCGTTCCATGGACACTGACAAAAGGTTAAAAATATTGTGATACTGATGCCAGAAATACATCCAGAAGGATGCTTTGAATTCTGCTAGTTTGCAAAACAACTTAGTTCCCTCCATCACAGACACGATCTGTACCTACTGTTGATAGTCTCCAATAAATCCAAGCCACCAAAAGTGGACCGTGACACTGTTAAATAACTAGTCAAGTGTGGCCGTATGTTCCATTTGAAAAGGTCTGCAAATTTTCCAAACTCATGTAAGTCTGAGTTAAGCGTCAATAAACAAATGACTGGATGCTCATCTTCGTGAGTAGTTCGGAGTCATATTCGAGCGAATGGAAATTGCGAATTTCGCTTGAAAGATAGCGACACATCTCCTACTTTGGGTGCAACGCCGCATTAAACTGGATAATTGAGGTAATTGTGAATTTAATTGCAAAAAAATTGTGCGGCAGAAAAACGGAATAATAGAATGCAATCTCCGATGTTTCTAGAATGACTGCAATATCCTTCTCCAAAATGTTTTCCAGTCTCCTTAGCTGACGATATTATGGCGGACCATTAGGCGCATTGAAGGTTAATGTTTGCGTTTGTTTTTGAAGGACTCACTTATTGGGAGGGCTTTGTACTGCACATGCAAAACACAAAAGAAACGAATGCAATATATTCACCAAAGTAGATAAATTCTGAGCCAAAATTATCTCCAAATTATCCAGACAGCTTTTGTGTCGTGTGCTTATTGTTCGCCACGAAGAAGTTGCCACAAGAACAAAGCACGAATCTGGGAATGGAACTGCTGCGTCGACCACTGAAGACTAGCCCACTCAGGACTACAATAGAGTCTACAACAAGCGACAAAAATAGGACACTCGAGACACTGTGGTAGTCTGAGAACGGTGTCTACGGGGCACGAGGCATAGTAACGAAAGCAAGCTAAACTTCTCACCTATTAATATGAAATTAGATGTGCTAACCAAACTCGAAGTCCGATGGCCGTATTTGAACATCACTTCGGCGGTGTTCAGTAGGAGCGGTAAAAGCCTTTCAAATTCCAATGCGATGTTCTGGCGGCTGTGGTAGAAAGATGCATTTCATCCGTTAACTACGAAGAAAATCCTCTCACTCTATGAATAGGCGAATTTTGGCCATAGAGTGGTCTACTTGTGTTCCTTTTGGAGACAAAAGGAGTGGAAACAAACTTACACAACTTAAAATCAAATAATATTTTGGAGAATCTTTTGCCACCGACAAAATATAAATAGCAATGTTTAAATTGGATAAAGAGTGGTGAAAGATTCATCGAGTAGATTATTGAACGTTCATAACATTAGAACTTATATAAAAATAAGCACTACTCTTTGGTTTCCAAAAGAAGAAAATAAAGATGAGTAAATACAGAAATCCGTGGATCGCGTATGAATGCTAAATTCTGTCGTTTTTGCAGTTTATATTAGCCAAACAATACATAATTTCAATTAGTACATCAGTGATTGAAGGATGAATTCAAATGTTTCGAAAAAGTTACTGTGCTTGGCCTACGGAGGATAAACGCATCCAGGCAATTTGCAGAAAGCTCCCTTCTAAGCTAAAATGTACTGAATCAAATGATTCGTAAATTACTAGTGTTAAACACTGCTGTTATCGCCTTTATAACTGTGTGATGCTGCCGAACACATGTTCGTAATCCAATCTTTTATAATAAGTTTTCATTAAAATCATTGAAAGTTAGCATTTGCAACAGTCTTCAGGTCAACTTCATGAATTTTCAGGAGTGTACTAGCAGATCTCCTCTTGAAATGTGAAATATAGTTTCCGTGAGGGTAATGATAGTCACAGGCGTTAAACCTTTTCGTGGAAAACGCCTTCCAAAGTAAGATCACAGAGTGGGAACGGTTCGATAAACCAGGTGAATTTCATGAAGTGGCCTGGAAATCTGCTCTGAGGAGACTAGTTAACCAAAGCATGCTAACAGCACCGACAATTAGTTGGCGACTCAAACGTGAAACCGAATTCGATAAATATCACAAATTCAAAGATAAAAGTAAATGGCTCATTCCTGTATATGTGGCCCCTGTCGTGCAGGTAAGTCGCACTGATGCTTCTCGTTGGGAGGGTTCACCGGAATAAGTGGTATAATCAATTCACTCGGACCCGCCAACAATATTTGAAATCATTCGTCAGATCAACTACCACCAAGCTGCAAATGTATTGGTAGAGAATGCCCACCTGCTTACTTAACATAGGTGCAGCAGCTTGGTAAAATGCAGTCTGTAAACTTGGGGAACTACGGTTTAGACACTCATGTGTTTATCCACCACTAAACAGTAAATAATCAGTGGGGAAATTGATGATGGTGTGTGTGAAAAGTGAATGCATGTAGACAAATTTCGATAGAATAAACACTGCCAAAATCGTACATCTGGAATTTAGGTCTTCTTGGTTGGTGCGTGCAAATCCTCGATTTATCTATTTGTACACCACACAAAAGGCTATTTCCATGTCCTGAAGAGCAAAATGCTGACCGATGCGAGGAATTCAGTTTAGTTTTAGTGGCAGTGTTTTTAGAAGGGTTGTTTGAATGCTACTCCACGCACTTGTGTTGACAGCACACCAAATAAAAAACACGAAGCACGTCCGATCCTGTCGACTCGTTTTGTCCTTATAGCTAGATAACGAGTGGCATTTTATTACACTATAATTACAAAACACCCAGGATAATGATAGAAACAACCATTAAGAATTGAGAAACCTCAAGCTGGGAATTAATTAGGGCGGATTTTCGCGCCAGTGGTCATAAAATATGATGTAGGTTAACCGGTAAATACCTATAATTTCCCTCTCTTCTAATATCTGCCATCCTGGAAAGATTCTTCCAGTATGGGACCCGGCTAACCGGTATATCCCCCGGGAAGACTGCTCATTTAAGGTTGTTTTAGCCTCTCCAAAGACGGAATTTATTCCATTCACTCCTTTGTCGTGAAATTTAGATCGTCAAATAATTTCATCGGAGATTTGATGCACGTCTCAAAGGCACTTAACTTAGGCGGTCAACAGGATACAGTTTTTAAACTTTCAAAAACTTTGCCCCTTCGGATTAGTCCCTCGAGACCTATTTCAACGAAATTCTCTCTTCTGAGGAAGCGAGTGCCCTCAAGTTGTTTTGGGTGTCCTCTTCTGAGGATCGAATCGTTTCATTGATGACTGACCTAGTTTTGTTGTGCGTCTGTCAAACATTTTATTTTTAGACTTCCAAAGGCTCTGGTATAAGTTTGAACGAAACTTTCAAAACTGAAATCTAGATGTTTTGCAATCTCATTTCTCTTCACACAGTGCCTTAAAGTACCCTTAAGACTAGATTTGAACCAAAGTTGAATTTTAACTCAGCGCATAGATTGTGTGTTTCTTAAAAAAATGCTTCGCTCCTCATAATCTAGCAATAAATGATTACAAGAATGATTCAGATTATCAAAATCCAGTCGCTTTGTATCATGAAATACTTCCAGATCATCCAGGTCATTGTGCATTAGATTTTGCAGATTGGAAACAACGCCCAGGTTGCAACCAAAGCAACGTAGAAAAAACATTACGCACCAGACTGATTCAGACAAACAACCTCATAAAATATTCAGAACGTGGGAGATTGTACCAAAAAATAAGACTTACACTCCGGAAGCAACCAAAGTTTGTACGTCTTGTCTCAAAATGGAATGTGACGACGGGAGAAAATTGACTGCAAGCCTTACTATTGAAGTTATATTTACTGCGGTGTGAAGCTCTGTTTTCTGAAAACGAAAGTTTGACCGAATCGCTCGGCGCAGGCGTACGCTCCTATCGATGGGTTTGGCCTACGTAATATTCACTTTCGTGTGTGGTAGTGTTATTTATGAATGCCTAAGCATATATATCATGGACCAAGGAAAATGACAAACTGCCACTATTTCAGCCCTCAGGACTGACAAACCAAAACGAATGTCCTAAGCACGAAATCTCTATCGTTATTCAGCGTAGTTGGCAAGCTTTCGTACAAGTTCTACAGATTCTCTCTTATGGTGAGAGCGTAACGATCGCTTTTATGAATATTGGTGTAAGCAGACATCCTGTATGCAAATTTTAGGTAAAATATAGGTTGCTGATCCTAAACCTTTTTTTCTTATTGGGGCTCTTCAGGCCTATGTTACAAGTTCAGATCACCCGGTGACTGCTGTCAAAGTTCGCGTCTTCATACATCCGCTAGAGCATACAAACCACTAAAATTCAAATGCCGCAGGTATACAAGAACAATTAATTACTTTGAGGTGATTGACTCTGAAGTACACTTTCTACGAACTTCCAGATGCTTTCTTATAAAAACACCCGAATAAATATTTGACCATAATACAGTTGCCATGGTCTAACTCTCTCCATCCGATGTATCTGACTTGTAGATGAGTCTGTCATTGTGAAGTAAGATGAGCGCCGGTGAATGTTTTTGTCACGACAAACACAAACTAGTAAAGTGCAGATACTATTCTGTCTAAATGGATTACAGAATATAATACTGAAGCATCCGGATATCCTTGGGTTGAACCGTCGAACCGACGAGCAAGATGATGTTCAACTGGAGTCCACTAAAATAGTGATTAAATTTTCTTGTCCTTAGCACCAGTTGAAACCTCTTCCAAATAATTTTGTAAAATAATACGGCTTGAACTTCGGTTTCCGCACTTTGCCACAGTCTTTCCACAAATCAGTCCAGCAAAACTCTCCGTAGTTAAATCAGCAGGCCGTTCATACCTGGTACTTTGAAAATAAAACCTAACTTGTTTGGTATAAGAATAGGATTCTTAAGGTGATGAATATGTAGGGATGTTAGACGTAAATGAGCCTCTCTGAATTTTCACACGTTTCAGTAAAGTGCATTTTTATACATACAGTTTTCCCGAGGAAAACTTCGCCTGCCGACAAGCCTCTACATGCGCACAACTATACATAAAGTCTACACACCAAAAGAGCGTGTATTCGTAATTAAGTTGCCATCACTTTCTAGGTACAGTAAAATTTCCAAGGTATTTTCACGGTCCTATGAGGATTGTTCTCACAGATCTCACTTAACGAAGGTAAGGTTAGTGACTCACCAACCCAAAATTGGGGTGAATGTAGATATCTGGATTGCAAATCTTTGGTAATCCATCTAATAAACTTGGGAATGTTTGATAAAATCACATAAAGTTTGGGGGGTTAGTTCGTCTTTTTCGCGATTACGAAGCGTTGGATTTGCGATCAAACATAGTGTCCATCCGATCATCATTTTACGTTGCTGGGAGATGCGGTCGGCCACGGAGAATGACATTCCTCAGAACGCTTTTGCTCATTGTCACGCGCTCATAATAACTCACGCATCGCTCTGAGAGTACCAGTTTTACTGACTGAGTAATGTTATATGACCTGTGATCTTAAGGATCTTCCAGGAGTTGTATATGTTATTCAGTTCAGTCATCTGTCCTACACGTTTTGCGGAAAAGAAGAGTGCAGCCAGAGAACTCTTCCGGTAAACGCTGTTATTCGAGCTCTTTATTCAAAGAACCAAACTCAGGCGCACCGCCTTCTGTTCGACAATTCGATGGATATGGGAAACTGCGGATAATATTCTGGTATCAGTTCACTTTACAGACTTGACTGTAAATTTTCGCATCAATATTATAATCTGGACTGATCGGGTTTGCGTTCAAATGGTTCAATCATAATTTTGACCAATAAATCTAGTTAAACTGGCTAGTCTGATTATCGCTCTAAGTCTGGCTAAAGCTTGAATGCACAAGGCAGTGGAGTAAATTTAAGGTTAGATGTTGTACGTTCTGATTGGTTCAGCTAATGGACAGCGCATACAAGCGGCTGTGATTGTGTTTGCAAATGGATTTTCTAACTCGATCAAGCCATGCTCACTTTTTTGAGCTGATCCATTTCGATAGGACAAAGTTAATCAATTCTGGTTGATCACGTGTGGCAACCGAGTTAAAGCAGAGCTGACTACAAAGGCCAGTATTCAGTTCTGTCCATTATAGGTTGATCAGCAACAATTTTTCCGTTGATTTGAAAAGGAAAGTTAGTAGCTTGTCATCCCTAATGACATGTTGCTGACAGTATATCAATCATCTTTAACGAGAATGAAGGCATGCATTCTATAGTGTACACATATAGCACAACAAAGGGCAGTGAGGTGTAACAGTTAATCGGGAATGCGATCGGTACTATCACGTGATAGGCGACACAGTCGAACCGATCTGACTTACGCGAAAAGAGAAATCTCTGTTTCCAGCCGCACCTGCATATACTGGTTTAATGCTTGATCAAATGCTGGCCCACCTTGATTGCGATTTAAATAGCTCCATGTAAACAGCTTTCCTACAGAACGATGTATTTTTTGACAGGCGCAAAATATCACAAAACTGGAACTAGGAACGTCATCGCAGCCTACACTATCCGGCCCAATCTAACTTGCTCTTTCTACAAGCACAAAAACCTTCAGGCCACTGATGGGCGTCGCCATCACGCACTTGGATGCGTGACCCGTTGCATCTCATGATTACCTGGAAGGATGAAGCAGGGCAAATGTGTGGGCTTGTCTCGACCAAACGTCGGGGGGCCTTCTGATCCGTTGTTGTTGTAGTGACATTCTAATCACTTGGCCGGAAACGTTGTATCTCGATAAGTGCACTATTATTACGCGCTGCTGATTCCTCCGGTTGGTTCTACCGATGCTAGTTATAGCAACTACTACCCTACCTGTAGGTGTAATTAGCTCTGACTGAAACTGGTCCCACCAGTTAGGTTGGTGGCAGCGTTAGTGGTCTCACGTGTGCTCTGATCCTCAGTTGTGCGGTATTATAAGGTTACATCTGTTAATCTTATGACGTTGCCATCGATATAGTGGACATTGAGAAAGACCATCTACGCTCCTTTTATTACGTTACTAGGGAGATGCCGCTCGGCAAGCTTATCTGGATTTGTGATGGGAAATTGAAAAAAGTCTATAAAGTTAAAGCTCTACAACCGGTGTGAATGGGCTATAAAGTTGCTTTGACCTGTGATACAGGGGGCAAATA